CACCGCTACATTACCGAGCGCTGCCCTGAGGGCATAGTGCTCTTCCTCTTCCAGTCGCTGCTGGGCTCCATCGTCGATGCGTTCCTCATCGGCTGCATGTTCATCAAGATGTCCCAGCCCAAGAAGCGAGCCGAGACCCTCATGTTCAGCCGTGCTGCGGTTGTCTCACAGCGGGATGGCAAGCTCTGCCTCATGTTCCGTGTCGGCAACCTCCGCAACAGCCACATGGTGTCTGCCCAGATCCGCTGCAAGCTGATCAAGGTGAGGCCTGGCGCAACAGCGGGCGGGACGGGGCACCTGCGTTGCGGTGGGCGATGCAGGCAGGGCAGGGGCCAGGCACAACCATGTGCCCATCGTGCGGGAGCATGGGGCTTCCCCTGTCCGGCCCCTGGCTCTGCCCTGCCCCAGGGGCAGCTGCCCTGTCCCTCGGCACGTGGGCCAGAGGACATGGCCGGGGCGGTTATGAAGGGCTTTGGAAAAATTTGCCATGGCTGCCCATAGTGGGAGCCATGAAAGAACCAAGCAGGCACAGGGAAAAGGACAGCCTCATCAGAGAGCTCCCAGGGGCATTCCAGTGGATTGTGAGGCTGGCAGGAAGCCAGTTTGGTCAGGAAGGATGGATGTGTCGGGGTACAGGATAGCTGCAGGGAGGGATACTAAGGCATGCCCCTTAGCAGGTGATGGCTGGGAATAAGAAACTGATTATACCCCTTTTGTGGTGACATTAAATTAGGACAAAGATCAACCTTGACCTCCTCTTCCCCTTGGGGAAACTTGGGGAGCTTTAACTTGCAGTTTCTTACCCCATGATTCCAGCCAGTAGCCTCTCAGCATTTCAGAGGGATTGTGCAGGTGCTTTAGTGGAAAGGCCCTTTGATTGTCACCAATATCTATTTATTAATCACTGACAATGGTCAGCGAAATTCAGAATGCAAGAAAACTGGAATTCAAAGATCATGACCAAAAAAATAAGGAAATCGTCAGGAGACAGTAGAGTTTGGCATGCACAGAAGTCTGGAAGAGGCATTGGGCAGGAGTAGAATGGAAGGAAAACACTGCATGCGGCATGCCGAGACGAAGCAATGTAGCGGCTTAAAGCACCTACGTCTTGTCACGGGAGCAAGCTTGATGGGGAGCATCAGAAGCTGATCCCAGTGATGACGTTAATTTCAGAATATCATATTTGAACGTCCTAAATGTTCTGTATTCTCTATGGTGATCCTCTCTTTGGAGCAACTGTTCGGCCATTTTAATAACCTGCAGAAACAAGCATGATACAGTAGGTGACGGGACAATGGTAAATGCGAAAGGCAGTTTTCCTTCTGTTCTGTGCTGAACGCTTGACTGAGCTATTAATTTTTCTTGCCGCAGAATACCATTTAAAATGGAGAATCTGCTAAGATTCTAACAGAGGTTGGAGATATATATATATGTGTGCGTATATATATGTTTGTGTATATATATGGGAACAAGCTGTCGGGAGTTACAATGGAGCAATTTTTGTAGGAATTGGAAAGCCAGCTAAACCATGATTTTTGTTGATCTGTAACTATTAAAAACTAGCAGAAAGCCTCCTCTAAAGTATTTAATTCCATCTGTCATCCAAGACAGAATGCAAGTCAAAGTGGAATAAAAGAGGTGTCACAGCTGTGTTTTTACAGTGATAGTAATCTGCTGTAAACTTCTTTTGAATTAAGACACTGAACACACAACCTGGTGTGCTTTATGCTGCTAATTCTGTTGCTACACAGTGCTGGTATGCAGATGATTTGGGCAGAAGACACAGGGACATTTAATGGACCTGCTTGACCAATTCGTCTTACGATAGCTGTTTCATAGACTAGACAATGAATCAGTGAGTAATACTTGATTTCTTTCGAGCAGTCATCATGCCCATGACTTGTCTTCACGGTGCTTTGTGGCCTGTGGCAAATACAAGCTCTGAACACAGGAAAGTTTAAAAGTGAATGTTTGTGTACTAGGGGCCCCCCGCAGTCCTTGTTGCAAGGCGTGCTGTTAGTTCCCATGTCTGTAAATCCTCCTCAGTTCGTTGAGGTGCCCCTTGAACTGGACACACCATTGCAGCAGTCATAGCGGCCGTTCCGGCAGCGTGTGAATTTACATCAGCTGCTTTGAAGTGGCTTTGTGTGTCCTGTAAACTTACGGTGAATGTGCCGGAACTCGCTTACCATTTATCTTCAGCGAGTTCTGCCTTTTAGTGATTTGTGCTCTTTCCGCTGTGCTTCGTGCAGTGCTCTTGACAGCTGATCTTGCTACGCTTCTCCTGCACTCAATTAGATAGCTAGAATTTTTTTTACTTGTGTCACAGTGAAAGAATGTGAAGAAATGTCTTATCACACTCCTGTACTTGAGATAGGAGCCATATTTAGTACATAGCGTTGCAGTGGGACCAGTGGAGCCCTGAGGATTTACATTTGTAAAGAAAGTACACCAATCTAAGTCTGTCTGAATGGCGTTTACTGAAAGCGTGATATATGCCCCAGGATATTTGGTGGATTACAGTGGTGCCACCACACTCTGCTGGCTTTTTTTTTTTTTTTTTTGGTCCAGGGAACTGCCCAGCAGCATGGTGTAGTGATGTCATGGAAAAGTCTGGGGCCCTTTTTGGACTGAGTTGTGGAGAGTTTGGAAAACAGAGTTACAAGACTAAGTGTGCATGTTTCAGCAAAAACTTCTCCAGAAACCTGAGTCTTTCTATTTTACATTGAGTGCTCTAGAAGCAGGAAAAAGCAAACTCTGGGGGCAAGAAATAGAAAGAAGCTGGTTAGAACTAGCTGCTGAAAATGTGCAGTTCCAGGTCCTGGCCTTTTCAGTGTCACAATGAGCTGTATTTTTCTGCCTGTTAATTCCTGGACCTCACTAGTGTGCCTGAGCGATCTGGTGATAACAGCAGTAACCAGCATCCACCGGAAGGCGATCAGTATTGATTTCTTTAAAATTAGTTACGATACCTATTTTTATCTTCTCTTGATGGGACTACATATGTCACTGATAAACAAGCTCCTGTTGGTGTGTAAAGTGGTCTGTAAAATGTTTCAGCTAGTAGTGTAGGACATGTTGATTCAGAAAGCTGAGGATTGTAAAATCATCATAACCTGTTTTCAACATGTGCTAAATCATAGTTTTAAAAATAGAATTGTGAAGCATAGTAGCCATAGAGCCAGTGCGCTTTGGGTTATGACCAGCAGGCACCTATTCTTTGAGCTGTACTAGTGAACAGCTTTGAATAAGCTGAAAGCAAACAAAATTGTAACAGGAAGTTTGCAGATGGCAGATGACAGGCATTGCAAATAAGTAAGAAAACCCATTATATTGTCATCTCGATAACTCGATAAGCAGGGCACGTGTGGAAAGTGCAAATGATATATTTTTTAATATCACAGAATCATTCAGATTGGAAAGGACCTTGGGAGGTCTGTAGTCCAACCTCCTGCTCAAAGCGTGGGGAGCTAGGAGGTCAGACCAGGTTGCTCTTGGCTTTTTCCAGTCTGGTTTTGGAAACTTCTAAGGACAAAGACTGCACAGCCTTGCTGGGCAAGCTCTTCCACTGCTTAGCTGTCTTCATGGTGGAAAAGTTTTTTTTTTTTCATCCAGTCCAAACTTCTCTTGTTTCAACTTAGGCCTGTTGTCTCTCTTGCTCCCACTATCCACTGCTGTGAAGAGCCTGGCTCCATCTTCTTGATTACCTTCCTCTTAGGTTTTGGAAGGTTGGTTAGATCCCCCTCTGTGCCTTCTCTTCTCTGGTCTGAACAAGCTCAGCTCACTTGGGTCATATTTACAGCTTGGGGCAACTAGACTGTATTAAAAAGTAGCAGTCATCCTGAGAATTATCTAAGCTAGAGCTCCAGGTATAGCGTCACTACCAAAAACCCATACAATTCTTTAACAGCGGTATCAAAGTAACAAGTTCGTATTACTTCAGTAACGTAATATATAACAAATGTTCTTGCAAGCTGCTAGTCTAAGAGTGGGGCAGAAGCGCAGATAGGTGAGATCAGAGGTTTTTCCTCTCAAATACCAGAACTGAAAATACAGTAGTACTGTATGGCAAATTAGCACATACCAGTTTAGCATTTTCTAGATTCCCGAGTTTCTCTACGATGTACTGCAATATTAAGCTCGATGGTCGTCTGTCTTTTGTATCCTGCATTTTCTACTCCAATGCTTAATTAGTCCACCTGGGTATCAAAACATAATTATGTGAGCTCTCTAAACAAGTGAACTGAAAGAGGGTTAATAATAATAATAATAAAAAACCTGCATTGTGTCCAGTTAAAGAAGGGTGTGCATAAGCAACAGGGTTTAAAAAAGTGCTGAGAATGAATAAAGGATAGGGGTGAAGACTCGAAGGACATAAAATGTTTGGTCAGACATAAAAACAGACCAAGTGATGTTGTAATGGAAGTCTGTCTAGTAATAAGAAACAAAACAAAGATCCAGTGGCAGAAAGTTAAAGGCGGAAAAGTCGGGACACAGAAGGAGTTTTTTTTTTTTCCTTAGCTGCAAGGCAATTAACCTTTGGAGCAACTCATCCAGACCTTTGGATCTCCACCTCTGGCCACATTTAAAATGAAAGCTGGGGCGTTTCTAAGTAATTGTGCCCTTGTTCAAGCATGTATTAATCTGTGGAATTTATTTGGCTTTGTGTTATGTGGGTGGTCAAAATAAATAATCACCAGTGTTCCTTCCAGACATTGCTGACAGTTTATAGTCCTCTGCTCTGTTCTGTGATCCTTTGACTAAAGCTGTATATATGCAACAAAGGTTGCTGGCTAGGAGTCTTAACATACTAGGGCTATTAAGCTATCTTCATTCAGGTTAATTTCTTTTTATTTAACAAATAATTTTCCTTTAAAAATTCTCCATGCCCTGCATAAATCAGTCCTGTATGTAAGATACCGAATACCTCAAACACAACCTTTTGCTTTCTCCCAGATCTGTAACCTCTAATCATCCTCGCTGGATTTGTTTACTATTGGGTGGATTTGATCGAAGACTCTTCCACAGAGAAAAATGGTTTGTAGATGAAACAGTTCTTAAGTCATTCAGGCAGCAATTTGTGCAAATATGCACATCTTTGTCTAGGTAATTGTATTTGATAAAACTTTGGGAAATGTGAGGTTTAGGTGTTGGTTCATACAGCTCAGGTTGAGCCTTGTTACCTTGGAGCAAAGATCATACGTTGCCAACCACTTTCTGCACCCGCTGAAAGAACAGTAGCCAGGCAACAAAAGCAGTGGCGTAGTCTGCAGCTTAGTTCTGCAGGTTCCCTCAGGAAGAAAGAAAGGATGTTTCTGCAGTAGTTTGATCACACCTTTGCATATAACAGAGACTGTCACGATTGCTATGTAGTAGTGATTTTGATCGCTTTTATTGTATAGCACTGTCTTTTACCTTTCAAAGCACAAATAAACTGTGAGAATGCTTTTACAGGCCCTCAGCTGGTATTTTCCCTGCCCTCGCCAGTAGTGGAGAAACTGGCTCTCATGTAAGGGAGGACTTGGTTATTTAGATAGGAAGAATTTTTTTCTTTTCCTCAGCAGAAAACCAGACACACAGCACATGAATGAAATAACGCATTGTATTTAATAAGGAGCTGTACTCTCCCAGCTACCTAACTGGTTATGTACTCACCAGTAAATATCAAGCAATTGAAAATTCATCATTTTTAAGACAGAGGTGAAGCGGAGAGACAATGTGAAGGTACACTAGTTGCTTAGGGTTTTTTTTTTTAAAGACAGAAACTTTCTTAAAAGAGTACCAATCAGATCTAAGTCAGCGGCAAAACTGCTAGCTTCGGCTTGCTCTCAGGACTAACGGATGGAGTTCCCAAGCAATGGAACCAATACGTTTGCCAATACCAATGCAACACAGTTAAAAGTATTTAGTAACTGTGGAATAATCTGTCATTTATTATCAGTAGTCGGCTTGCTAAAGAATTAAGTGCTTTCTAATCAAGCAATAAGCAGAAAGGATTTAAAATAGGATTTTAAACAGACTCTGCAAAGCTTTTAATTTTAATGGGCAATTTCTACCAGAGACCTTTAAAGCGATCAGCTGAGCTGCCTGGCCAACTGATGTAATTTTTAGTTACACGTTGAATACCAAGAAAATTTGAGGGGAACACTAGGGGCGGGAGGAAGCTATCATATCGGTATTTTTATTGGACCCATGAAATGACATGAATAAAAACAGGGCACTTGGCTTAATAATGATCATAAGTTCATTATTAAGATCAACGTACAGTAGGTGGTCCGTGCAAATTGGCACGGGATGACGGCATTGTTAATGTCAATTCAGATGCTTTTGTGGAAATGTCACTTACCAGACATACTGTACAATTAGTGTGATGCTTACCTTTGAGTTAGTACATCACAGTGTCTGCCACAGAAAAATTAGTAATGTATAAAAATAACAAAATGTGAATTCACACAATGAATTAAAATGTGCCTGGCTTGTAGATTTTGTTCTCATTAACGGGAACTTTTGCCACAGGACGTTCATGGTGAACATCTGTTATAAGGCATGCAGTGTGGTACCTGATGTTTTTGTCAAAATATATATATCTCTCTCTTGTAGTAAAGTTTGTAGATGATGATGAGATCTAGTGGCATGATAAGAAAAGTCAAAATTGGTCATATGTAGTAGCCTTATAATATTTGGCATTACTTATATCTCTGTTATGAAGACCCCAGACCTAATACATAGATGATAATGTTATGAAAGAGGCAGGTTTAAACTTCATTGCATTGCTTTTCATGTTTTGCCTCACACGGTGATTACTAAATCATCTTTTCATCTTTAGTCCCGACAGACACCTGAGGGAGAATTTCTGCCGCTAGACCAGTGTGAACTGGATGTTGGATTTGGAACTGGAGCTGACCAGCTGTTTTTAGTTTCCCCATTAACCATCTGTCACGAAATTAACTCAAAGAGCCCCTTTTTTTGTCTCTCACAAAGATCACTAAGAAGCGAGCAATTTGAAATAGTTGTCATCCTTGAAGGAATCGTTGAAACTACTGGTAAGATTTAGAATAACATGCATGCTCTAATTTTTAGTCTTTGTTTTCAGTCCTGATATTTTTGGCGAGGCAGCTGTTAATCCTTTCAGGATGCTAATCCTGGATGCTCCAGAATATTCTGCCGTGTGCTACAGAGCTTCAGTGGACTTCACCAGCTGACAGGAGACCTCCCTTCCCCACAGGAGTCTGCATTGCCGATGCCCAAAGTGGCCAATACATCCAAGAAGAGATGCACCCTGCCACTCTTGAGCATGGCATATAGTACAACACCCTTACGGACTCCTGTTTTAAGGACCACCACTCCGAAAGAACGTTGAACATTAAAGATTGCCAGTGCTGCAAAATCACTTTCAGCCTAGCTTGCGTTAAATGGAATGCAAAATAACAAATCCAGTTTTACAGTAGAAATAGAGACCACATAGTTGCAAAGATTGTAGGGACATGTGGTTATCGGCAAATATGAGCAGGGCTTTTGTTTTTTTTAACTTTTTAACTTTTTTTTTTTTAAATTCTGATACGGCATTGTCCAGATGACAGCTGACTTTCTGGCCTTAGTCTTTTGAGGACTTAATTCTTTTATGAATGCTGTGACAACATGCTGCAGTTACATAAGAAGCTCTGCGTCGAGAATCGATGTGTACTGTCGAAGTCCAAACCATTCAGTAGGTTCATCAATATTCTGATCTTCCTCTCCCTTCTTTTGAGGATTTGTTAAACTTTGATTAATCAAGGAGCATTTTCATCCTTCTTTCAACAAGATTACCGGTTCCCCGGTTCCTGCCTTAGAAACAGTAATGTCCTTCTGTCGCAGGCAAGTGCAGTCATCTCATGCCGGACAGGAAACAGAACTGACCCATTACTATCCACGTGCTGGACCTAAACAAATACACAGTCCGCTGGCTGGCGCAGAACACTCTTTTGTGTCAAGTGCAGCAGTCTTCAGATCGCCACAGAAGCCTCTTCTCATCCCGCAACTGAACCATGTAGCTTAGATAAGCGTGCATTCATAACCGCACGTAATGCAATTACCTAACCGGGTACCGCAAGGGAAACATTTTACACTTGTCTGAGAATTAATGTAGCAGTAACTGAAGAGCAAATCGGAGTTTGGGCTTTCTGACTGCTAATTCTGCCTCTGAAGAGTACCATGACAGGAAGTCTTAAAGTTCTACTCACCTGGGATATTTGTATTAATTATCATCAGCATGGTTCTGCTGAGAGCGTAACAGATTTGTTGGCTTGGTTAGAACACATTTTAGCTGTCAGTTCACACACGTAAATACTGCCGATGATGTATGTTTGCACTGAGTGGAACAAATTCTACAAGCTTTACAGCGGTACCTATGTCTTAGCATGGAAGACAGCTGCAGCGTCTCTGCACAGCTTTTGTCTTGACATACTATTTGGAGAAAAAGTAACGTAGCCTATAGAAGGAATGGAAGATTAAATTTTTCATTTAGCTTTGGCAGAGAATTCTGTAAGCCTCTGCCAAGCAACGGTTCTTTCTCCCAAGGTGACTTCCAAGAAACAGTATTACATACAAACTATAAGATTGTTGTTGCTAGCGAGCTAATACTTTCTTAATTTTATGGTTTGCTTTTATCACAAGCCATTTGCTCGGTGTGAGTTGCAATATTTAATCCAAGATTTGTATAAAAATCTAGTCAATCAATTAGAGGCATTGACTGTCAGGAGATTGACTAGGAACAATCGCTTTATTTTATAATCTATACATTTGTTAGCTTACAGGCTACAATTGACTTTTATCTGTCAGCCTTACCTTGTATTTTTTGTTCCATATGCCGGTCTACTTGCTCAAATTAGAATGCCATGCTCTTGTTTCTGTTTCTGTAGGAATGACGTGTCAAGCTAGGACCTCTTATACAGAAGATGAAGTTCTTTGGGGTCACAGATTCCTCCCGGTAATGTCCCTAGAAGATGGCTTTTTCCGTGTCGATTATTCTCAGTTTCATGCTACGTTTGAAGTCCCCACGCCTCCTTACAGTGTTAAAGAGCAAGAAGAAAACCTGTCCCTATCATCTCCTTTGAATAGTCCCGTCGATAACAACAAAACCAGAAGAGAACAGGTTTGTTCACTTGACTGTATTGATATTGCAGGAGAGAAAAACAAGCTCCCTTTTAAACTTCAGAAGATTAGCTCGAGAAAGGAAAACCTTCCAAGAAGAGCCCTGCGAATGAGCTCCAGTAACACAGAGAAGACTTGCAGTACCGGAGATCTCTTGAAAATTCAAGAAATAAGTCCCATCTCTGATGGTGAAGACAGCGATGATAGGATACAGCTGAAAGCCTTCAAATTAAATGCTGAGGCTTTGACTCAGTCTACCGGTGATCTGGAGTTACAGAAGAACCCTCCAAGCATGTGCGCTCTAGAGATGAAATTGGAAGATAATTTTCCTGCCAAACTTCGAAAAATGAACTCTGATGGCCTCTCTTAAGAGCAGAAGCAACAGGAGTTGTTGCTGATAAACTGCATTTGAGACTGCTGACCTGAAAGAGTTGTCTTACACCTAAAGTCATAATTTGGTTTTGCCACTTTCAGGAAGAATGATCCTTTTTGTATAATTGTTCTGTACAGATCCAACCTAGGTAGCATAATAGAACTTTGAGGGGCAGTAAGGTTAGACTGTCGTGCCAAAGAGATCGCTGCCCTAATGATGTTTATCGGCATGCTCGTTGCAAATCTACATTGTCTTCCATGTATGCAGATGCTTTTCCATGAAGCAAGGACCAGATCCTTAGTTGCAGAGTGAAATGGTCAGAGATCAAGCCAAAAAGGGTGTAAAACCAGCTGAAGCACAGTTTTATGCAGCTCAGATCTCGGGCTGTTCCTGATGTATAGGTTGTTCCTGCAGAATGCAGGAAGAATCTGTGATGCTGCTCGGTCGTAGTCCAGTTCTCTCAGTGACCCCGCTGGACGGTGGCCTTCTGTGCAGCCTAGTGGCACGCATCCTTTCTCGAGGATTGTGGCACGCCAGCTCCGTGCCCCCAGAATCTGGATCATTGTCATTCAGGTAAAGGAGGTGGCTTGCGATAGCCATTTGTGTCGTTTGACTCACACGAGCTCTCATAAACGTGAGGATTACTTATCCTGTCCAAAATTAGACCCCAGCGTTCGATCAGGTGGATCACATGTTGAGTTTTAACAACCATATCACCACTTGCTGTGAAGGGAACTTGAGGTCGGTAGCTCGACTTAATGGTATGTCTCGTACCTCAACTTCATGAAATTTTAGTTTGCAGACTCCTCGTAAGTAAATAAAAGCAAAGTGCTGGATAATGCTCAGACATTACAGGAAGGGACAATAGTACGTACACATCTCAGAGTTTAACTAATGAATGGTGAGGGTCTTTGATGTTGCTAATTTTTTTTTTTTGTTGCCTTTTGAATGCCTTCTCCATTTATGTATGATTCTCAATAATTTTGTAGATTTGACATTTCTAATATTATGCAATTTATTGCAGGGTAGTTTTAACATAAATAAGATACTGAAAGAAAAGGCAGCACATGTCTGTAACGTGTTAAGTGTGCAGCCAAGAGAGGGCTTTCACGTTTTTGAGCATAATGGAGCATTCTCTCAAAGTGCTTCTGCTAATAATGGTGATTTACTTTCAGTTGTTAAATGACTCTTTTAGAAGATTATCCCTGGAATATGGCAACCAAATGACCAAAAAGATGTCAGTGAAGGTTTACACAGAGGTGCTGGTATTTTGGTATTCGGTATCTCTTTAAATGTCATACAGCTTTTTCTAAGTGACTGGCCCTGAACAAGAGGGAAGAATGCTCTTCTGGTTTTAAAACAGATCTTGCATAACCGAAAGTACTGTTTGCCTTACTGATGATCAGGAAATGGCGAGAACTAGACGCGGAGTTTCTTAGATTTCCTGGGGTTCTACACCAGGATAATCACGTTACTATTCAGCTGTTCTGCTGTCCATCTCAATCTGTGAGAGAGGTCTGTTTTTTTCCGGCTGGTAGCGAGCACGCGTAATCAGAACTTGCTAGTTTGTAAAATATGATGGGCAGTAGCTCAGCGTTAGGGTGCTTATCATTAGCAGAGCACTGCCCGGCAGAAGGATCAAATTCTGCTCTTGTTATGTGGACAGAATTCAGTCAAATTTAAAAGGGGCTGTTGTGGCCATATCAATTGCCAACGCGTGCCTCGATGACTAGAACGGAGCGGTGAAGTGACCTATCCAAGCCAGGTGTGGCTTGGCTTGCATAGATCGCTATTTCTTGCTTTTGGTCTCCTGCCTATGGTGTGAAACTGGAAAATGGTATTTTGCACAGGGGTAGAATTTGCTGCTTGTTGTTCTTGTTTGTTTTCAACATGATTTCAACTTATGTGCTGAAATTTGTATTTTCATTTATTAAATGTATTTAGTATGGGATATTTAGATGACAGTGTGAAGTCTGGATTGATGATGACCCTCCCCGCTCTTCAGAACAGCCAGAATTAGTATAAAATAAAATTGCATCCAGCTTAGGTCTCAAGCATTCTGGCGAGTCAGTCAGCTCAGAGTGCACTTCTAATAGACACAGAAACAGTGAGCGAAAGTACCCCGTACCTGCTTTTCCAGTTACGTGAAAGGGTGTTTCGCACACGTTATGCAACTGTCGGACATGTAAGGCAGTAGTATTCTGCGCTGTGTGTTCTGGAGGATGGTCCTCAGCTGTTTCCAGTTTTCCCAGTTCTGGGCTGCTCCTGTAGCTGCACAGTAGATTTAGTCGTGGCCTCCCGAGACTTTCCTGTAGACCAGTCTCAGCACTAAGCCGAATCGTCACGCTCTAAATGTATTACATGAGAGCTTGCGAGCCATATGGTGGTTTTCTGCAATGCGCGCTGTGACAAAAATAATTGTTGAAGTACTTCTGGGAAGCCTACGGCGACTGTTCCTACTGCATGAAGCAGAAAGATGTTTTCCTCAGGCTGAGGGCTCCGGTGTGCACCTCTCATAACGCTGTTACTATTACTCCTCAAGGAGTGTATTTGCTCTGGAAGAGAGTAAGGATGAAGGAGTAGGAAAGCAAACTCTTAAAAGCAAAATGACGGAACAGGGTGCCCAGACATACAGGAGGGTGTGGAGGAAGAACGCAGGCGGCTTTGCGTGGCCCCGGGAGGACACCAAGGGGCCCCTAGTGACTGCGGAGCCGTGCTTGACCGAGGGGTCACCAGGAGGCCGGGTCAGGGGGCAGGTCAGGCCCCGAACTGGAAACCAGGTGGGAGCGAACCGTCCCCCAGCTCCAGGACCACGCAGGACAGACCGCGCAGGAGCAGGGAGCACTACATGCCCTCACTTTCTTGGTGGGCAGCCCAGCTCTGAGCCCACTCTGTGGCTACAAAGGCAATGCCGCAGCCGGGGGCTCCGGTGGAGCGTGCCACACCAGCATGGCAAGCGTTGGGGCTCGGGGGATGCCTACCCATGGGGCCGGCCCAGCCAGGCTCACGCGTTTCGGCTGCCCGCCAGCTGCCACCTGATGTTGGGTGCTGGGTGATGCAGGCCGTCAAGATCACAACACAAACTTTCCCCTGTACCACCCAGCGTTCAGTTCCATGCTCTGATCTGAGGTCTCGGTTTGACGCCGTGCGGGCATGGCACACCGTGCCAGACCCGTGAGGTGGCAGGGAGCCGAGGCGTGAAATGTGCTTTCAGGCTGCTGGGCTAAGGCTGAGGCAGAAGCTCAGATGGGTGCAATCAGGGTTTTTCCTCTCAAATACCAGAAATGAATTCTATCCTTGAAGGAGAAAGCTCGAGGGAGCCTGACAGCTGCTCAGTGACTTGCCACATCAAGGGCAAGGGCAGGCGCTGACCCTTCCCCTCCAGACTGACGAACGCCTGTCCCGTAGCAACCGTTCAGGTTTCACAGATGGGGAAAGCTTAATGGCACCAAGCCCTGTGGAAGCCTCAGTCCCAAGTGTTGTTTCTGTGTACTAATTAATAAATGCTTTGGTTTACTCTTTGTACTCATGGCTGTGGCTCCTGCAGTTCCTTTGACTTGGTAAGCACTGGTGACAGTCCCCGAGGGAAGGAGGTTACCTGCTGTGTCTCGGGGGGGAGGAGCTGGTCCCATGATTTCTTGACCCCTTTGGGATCACTGGGGGTTCCCAGACAGCCCCGGTGCCGTTCACAGGGCTGCAGGGGATCTCCCTTGCCTTGCCACAGGGCTGCAGGGGATCTCCCTTGCCTTGCCCCTTGCTCGGGGCTGTTGGCAGCGTTTGCCATCGGCCAGGGCCCCTCCAGGGCTCTGTGAGGTCCCCAAGCTGCTGCTGGTTGCTGTCGGTGCCCTGGGTGCACCCGGGGTCAAGAATGGAGTCAGCGCCAGCAGTGCCGGGAGATGGGATTTTGCCACAGGGTCTGGCAATGGCTTGCAGGCCACTTCCCAGCAGGCAGCACGGCCTTTTGGTGCGCACCATGGCCCTTTGTGTTTGGGTGTGCCCAGAGCCCTCTGAACTCCCGAATTCCTGTTTCAGTTTGCCTCCAAGTCCTGCTGTGCAGCCCTGTGTGTGCGCTGCAGTGTGCCGCAGCGGTTCCTGGTTCGCTTTCTCCCATCCCAGAGTTTTCCCGGTGCTTTCCTGGTGC